GGGTTTAGGGTTTAGGGTCCTCAAATCCTCATAAATCCTAAGAGCCGACCTGGAGGGAACGCCGACACCGTCTCCACGACGGACTCCGGTGAGGATCCCTGCGCCAGGACGCAAACGAAGGAGAGACCTGCCACGAGGCTTCCGGGGTTTTAGGGGCTTTTAAGGATTTATAGGACGGTTTAGGGTTTTAGGGGCTCCAGGATTTAGGACGGTTTATAGTTTTAAAATTAGGGTTCAGGGTTTGAAGGGTTAGGATTTGGGACGGTTTCAGGGTTTGAAGGGTTTTCAGGATTTAGGACGGTTTAGGGTTTTAGGGTTCAGGGTTTGAAGGGTTTTAAGGATTTAGGACGGTTCAGGGTTTAAGGGTCCAGGGTTTGAAGGGGTTTAGGGCTTTAGGGTGTGAGGCTTTAGGGCTTTAGGGGTTTCACGGCTTTAGGGTTTTAGGGTTTGGGGTTTAGGGCTTGAGATGTAGTCTTAAACCCTACAAACGTTCCGCCCTAATTACTGGAAAAACCCTGAACTCCAAGCCCTATACATCTTAAACACCAGGGGCATATTACAGTCTGGTGCTTAGCAGGGAATGGGGGAATGGGTTATAGGGCATTGTAGGGACTACCAGTACCATAAGGGGCCTTAAGGGACTATCATGGGGATCCATCCCCCATTCCCTATACAACTTAAACACGAGGGGCGTACTAGGGCGTCTATAGTCAGATGCCTAGAACCGTACACATTTATCTTGAAGGAAGCTTATCTGCCCCACAAGCCCCGACCGCCAAGAGCAGACCCCATAAGAATAAGGGTACCTTTTTTTCCTGATATTCCGTTTATAAGGAGACCACAAAATAAGAAGGGCAAAAGGGTACCACTGTCGGTAGTACAGATGAACCGAGTGTAACAAATCTGCAGACACAGAAAGCGAAGTCTACCTGGGCCCTTGTCTTAGGCTCGCCCCCCGGAGTCCGGAAGCCTAGAACCAAACAGAGGCAACGCCACCTGAGACGAAAGCCAGCTGCAGGCAGGTGAGCGCGGCCACCTTCAGGGCTTTGTTTTTTGTTGTCTGGGGCTGTAGGCTTTGGGGCCCAGACGTGCTCAGGGGTGTCAGACTTTTAGGATGCTGTCATCGGAAGCCATGTTGCGAGAACGATAGAAGCCCAATCATACTTACTATGCGCAGTGTGGTCTTGCTGTCGATAATACTAGAATGTCCTCGATTGTTCCGCTTGCTGCAGTGCTATGCGCTTCAAGAAACAACAACCATGACGATGACAGCTCACGTTCCCACTCATTCTCCCGCTTCTTTTGTTGCTGCTCCCCCTCACGCTACTCCTACACTTCCTGCTCCTACTCCTGGCACTCTCGTGGCTGCCATTTCTGTTGCTGCAGCTAGTAAGCTCGGCTGCGGGATCTTATGCCTTGGTTACCTCGGCCCTGAACGCCGTAAGCCTCACACTCAGAAGTAGCTAAGTCCTAACTGCCGGTAAGCTTTATTGACTCACAGAAAGCTCGAGGTCGAACTCTAACTCCCAGCCCACACCGCCCGAAACCCGAAACCCCAAACCCGAAGCCATTAGAAGACGTCTTCAATCGCCTGGCTCTCGGGAAATTGGCGGATGAGCTTCTCACACCTGCGCCGGCCGGACAACCACGTGGGGGTTTCTGAAAACAAGGGGTACCTTATTTTGGGGTCCTTATAGTAGGATCCTAGTATTTAGGGTACTATATTAGGGTCCCCTATTTTCGGAAACCCCCACATGCCACAGAGAGCAAGGCCTTCAGGGTATGGAGTCAAACCAGGGTTTTAGCCCTGAAAGGCTACAAGCCCTCGCCTAATCCTTCGAAAATCCCCAGGCTCAAAAAAAATAACAATAATACTCATAATAACAACAATAAGAATAAACAATCATGATGAGTGCAAGCCATCTAGGAGAGGAAAGGTTTAGAGATGAGGGCGCATCCTAGAGTTGCAAGTTTCCGGAAACTGGAGGCTCTAGGTTGCGAGTAGGGCTTGATAGTGGCTTAGAGCATCGGATTTCGCGAGCTCTCGTGCAGTAGACAGTTGTGTGAACAAGTTGACAACCTGAGAAGACCCGATAAAATCTTCATAAACCCCTTTTATCCCCTTTTAGGTGCCCTTGCAACACCCTAGGCAAAATCCTCTAAAACCCTTCTTACCCCTTAGCAGAGCCCATATAAGACCGCCTAGAACCTCAAGCAAAAGCCCTTAGATACAAACGCCAAACCCAAAGCCCGCAGAGACCCTGAACTGAACCCCTAAAGCCCTACCCAGATCTTCCAAAATCCCTTCGGGAATATAACCTTACATCAGATTAGGGATCATACTATCGTATTTAAGGTAAGTATATATCGAAGGATGTTGGACGATCTGGGCAAAAGACTACACCCTAAATCCTATGCTATCTCGTAAGTACCAAAACTGTCCTAACTCGACGCCTCCACATCTGCACTGCAAAGAGCGCCGCGCTGCCCAGTTCCATCACGTCGCCCAAGCTGCAGAAAGCGCCTGCAGCCAACAACTCGCGAGTTAAAGTCTCGAGCTGAGTTAGGGGCTTGGGGTTGTATGGTTTAAGGGTTTAGGGGTCCAGGATTTAGGGACGTAGGGTTTGTCTAAATATCTAGGGCTTATGCCTTTAAGGATGCAGGTGTGCTAGGGTTTAGTTTGGGGCTGATGGAGGCTGAGAGTTTTCGTTTCACCAAAAAGCCGCTGATAACCCAGGTGCCCGTGCGACACTAAGCCCTAAAACTTGGGCTTGCTCCCTAGACCCTCCATCTACCTGGTCCATATAAGAGCCTCTAGCTTCTCCCACATGCCGTTAAAAACCCCAGACTCAGAATCGCTCGAATGCCAACAATGTGTGCACATGTGTGCACCAAACTCCTTGAACACTCAACGAAAGTCGCACATGACCCCAACCCTAGTTAGGGGGTTCATCCACCCTCCTGTGAGCCCCCTTTTCACTATCCACCCTCTGGGCTGCGTGAGTCGGGGTAAAGCACCTGCCAAAGCGTTCGGGCCGACGAAAAGGGCGGTGCCTCTGGGCTCTTGGGTTGGCATTTAGGCCTTTGGGTTGAGCACTTAGTGCCACAGGATGTTCGGTATGGGGTTTAGGACTTAGTGGCATGGGCCTTGAGGTTAAGGGAGGATGTTACATTATGTTTGCTGTGTTTCCGGATTTAGTGAGATTCTTGGATGTGTTACAGGTGTGGCTCTTGGTATGTCCGCTCATGCGCATGCTCCGTAAGCACATGTTGAGATCGTCTTGCAATGGGCTTCTTTCAAACAAACGCACAAAGACCTTGCGCTCTAAAGCACACGCCAATCCTCCTCACATCGACGACGCCTATACTCTGTTTACCTACCGCTCAGCCCACTCGCGTCCTTGTAACAAAACGAACTCATGGATGGACTCTGAAAAGTCTGGGAAATAACGAGAGCAAGAGAACATACTGAATTGATAGAGCATGATATGTGGAAGCTACATGCTACAGCTAGTAAAATTGGAACCTGTCTGAGCACACGTTTGTTCGGAAAATGGCACGCCGTACGAAGCTCGCTAGAATTGATAACCATGCTGTCTTCCCGCGTGCAACACTAAGCCGTGACCCGTCCACGAAAGCCAAGTCCCAAAATTTTGGTCCTAAAACCACTACCTCAATCCAACAAGCCCAAATTCTGACCCCCAAAACCCGCAACCCGACACCCTCAACCGCCACCAAAAAACAACCCACACCCTAACCCCTAAACTCAATCCCAACCCTTCGAAGGGGTGCCTGCAGCTGCCAGACCGACAGATCCCCACGTCCTAAGTCTTCGGGGCTTTATGGGCTTTAACAATTCATAATATAGGTTTTATAGGCTTCAATTGAACAGCTGTATACGCTGTTTTTTTTATAGAGGGTTTATAGGTTTTTTTTGGAGGGGAAGGGGGCACATCGACAGGTTTCAGGGTCGACTTGTTGGGCTTTGTGGTTTCTTGGGGACACACCAGTTGCCCAGTGCGCCTTTTATCACAAGAGCGACCTTGTTTCTGATCTTAGTTTTGGCAAATCCTCAACTGAACTATGACTCACGGTGCAATACAAAGATACCCTGTAGACCCCTGAACTCTAAACCCTCATAGGGGAGTTTAGCAAACCAAAGGCACACCTGCTAGGTGCTAGAGCATGAGTATAAACCCATAAAACAAACGCCCGGTCCGATGCTAAAGCATATCCTATAAAGCGTGCGGGCTCTGAACCCGAGCAGTATCTTAAACCCTATCGAGTTCAGACCCCATAGCCCCTGACGTAGCGGCCTCATTAATTGGGAACAATCAGGGGCTTGGGGTATAACTTAACACAATATAATGTATTACACTTATAGTAGGGGCTATAACAGGATATTGTGTTTTACAATATTCCGGCCCTTGTATTAATCACTCTCAAACGCCCAGCGTCAGCTTGTTGATCCGCCGGCCATCGAGCAGGCTCAGCAAGGGAACGATGACAATGGTGAGGCTTCCTCGTCCGGGGGGGAGCAACCGGGTTCTGAGCGATTAGGGGGTTTCCGAAAATAGGGGACCCTAATATAGTACCCTTAATAATAGGATCCATTAGAAGGACCCAAAAACAAGGTACTTCTAGTTTTTGGAGACTCCCATTTGCCTGCGAAGTCTGGGCCCTTTCTTCTTCAAAGTACAGGAGCCAGGCAAGAATTATGGGAACCATGTGGGCCGAATCTAGCTTGGAGACCCTAGGTATGGGGTAGTTGTTGTGTTGGGGACGATGCTGATCGTGCTTCTGATCGGGGGGGGGGGGGGGGGGGNNNNGAGGAGGAGGAGGAGGAGGAGAGCAGCACGGCGGCAAAAGGTCACCCCACCACGTGCCAATTGAAGAGCCTGCTTGAAAGAGGAAAGCAAGGGATCTTTGGAAAGCCATGGCGGGACACAGGTTCTGCAGCTTGACATTGCCACTGTTTCCTCACATACCGAGGCCAAGTGTCCCATTCCTAGTTTGTGCAACAGCTGCTGACTCTGGTGACGGGCTCGAAACGGTTCGAGCTGTCTCTTGAGCACCGCAACCTTGCATTGAATGGCTTCAGCTTCTGCCCTTCTTCCCCACAATAAGGGGAAGGATGGCAGAAGCTGAAGACATTCAATGCGAGCTTGCGGTGGTTGCTTGCAGAAAGCTACTTGGGCTTTCTTAGATTTGATCTTTCTCGCCCTTTCCTGGCCAGCACCGTCCAGCTTCTTTCCAAACTGCTGGTTGCCAGTCAAACGTGTCAGCCGAGCGGAAACTTGCGCTGCATTCTGCTTCGTCAGGGCTTGTGCAAGTTCTGCCTGCTCCGCTTTACACACCACTCCGGCTCTAAGCATGCGTTGCAAAATGCGTTTGCAATCTGACAGGCCGTAAATCTTCAACGAACAACACGCCGGCGCTTTGGCTTTCAGGTGGCTCGCATGGATGCCCAAGCTGCGGAACAAAAAAAATCGCCAAGACACTGGATACTTCTGTCGGATGTCCAAAACCAGCGATTCTCCAGAATACGGCGGCGAAATGCAGCTCTGCATCACAAAAGCCGGCGAAGTAGCACCAGCTGCACGGCCCAGCGCCCGCCGAATCGTACTTCTTCCCAGAGCGCAGCTCGGCCTTGCGGTCCTCGCTTCGCGATTTTGTCTTCGGCCATCGGGCCGCAATCGAGAGCTGCCTCTGCTTCGTGGTGCTGTGTGGCGCCAGAAGCCGAGATGCCCGTCGGGCCGAGTCGCCGAAAACTTGCCAATGAAGCGACGGTTTTCCCAAACCTTTGCCCCCTCGCAGCCGCGAGATGCTCCGACCGAACACTTCTCGGAAGAGCATGAGAACTTCCGCCTGGTCGTAAGACCACCAACCTGCACATGCTCGTCACACAACTAACGCAGCCATCCCCGTCGAAGAAGCCGGCCAAGTACTCCAGCCTGGCTTTCGCCGGCCGATGTGACGGCTCTCTGCTCTCGGCTCGCAGAGGCAGGCTGTGGACACACCCATTTGCGGCAAAACACTTCAACTCTGGCCATGGAGTCTTCTGTAGCTCCTTTCGTCTTGATTCTTTCTTCGGACTTCCTGCAACTTGTCACAAGGATTTGCAGACAGGGTTCGGTGTATCCCGGTCGCAGCAGCTGCAAGACCTTGTAGGCTGATGCCGAGCCAAAAACAACATACAAGTATCGGACCTATTATCGCATACTCCGCTTCTGGCATCACTGTGGTTGGCCGAAGTCTCGGGGAGCAGCGAGGGCAGCTTGAGCCCAAACGCACCCTTGCACTTGCTGGCACATTATTAATTATAAGCTCTAAACCTGAAACCACACTGTCTAGCAAACATGCAGAGACCTCAAACCTCTGACCTAATTATTACGGCTACACTGCCAGACCTTGAAGATCTTGAGGCCTTTATTATATGATCTGTCTCGCTGCGCATTTAGGATTCCGGGTGCCAGGGATCCGGGTTGCAGGGTGCATGAACAGGTTAAAGAAGCTGCAAGAGAATTCCTTGTCGTTGTTGCCTTCGTTGCAGCTGCCGTTGATTACCAAACACAGTTGCGAGGGCCTTAGCTACCCAAGTTAGACCTCTGAGGGGAACTTCCATCGTAACATGTTACTAATGTTGTTGATAGAATGTCACTCGGAACCCTCAACGCTAAACGGAAAACCCCTTGCTTACCCTTGCCCCAAACTCTGAACCCGTAGGCCCAAACTCGTCATCTTCCTCTAAACCCTAAACCCTAAACCCTAAGCCCTAAACCGTAGCCCAAAAAGGCAGGAGGCCTAAAAGCGCACCAGACGAGGCGGTGGTGTACTGCAGGCCCACGGCCTCCCACTTCGAGAAACTCAGCTTTAGGGTTTAGGTTTTAGGGTTTAGGGTGCTAGGTTTGATACTTTTTTGGGAACTGAGAGGCTGTTGCAGGTTTTGGAAAGGCTGTGGAATTTGAGTTTTCGGGGTGTCATCAAACCCAATATCCCAAAAGTCCAGGCTTTGGTTTTAGCCTTCGGATTTGCAGTTGTTCACCAGGCAGGTTTTAAACATGCTTTTCATGGTTTAGCAGTAGCATTTGGGGTTCCGTGGGAAAGGTTGAGGGAGCTTAGCTTCAAGGTTTGGGGGGCTTTTCCGGTGAGGGGTTGAAAGCTAGGTCGGGATGAAAGCTAGGTCAGGCCCCGGGCCGCTATGCTAGTTAGATATGGGACCCTCTATATTCTGACGCCCCAGGCGTGGCTGGTCAAGATCATGGTCACAACAATGCCCGTGAAGTCATCACAGTACCCATGCACCAGATACAGCTACCGTCATCACTCCCAAACTCCTAAACCCTATGCAGCCCTTATAAAGGCCCTGCAAGCCTTAAGCTCACATTTCCCTCCCAAGCCGCATACGATGAACTCAAACCCTGGGACCTGGAGCATGAAGCCCAGGAAGAGCCACACAGAGAGCTCCGCTCCGCAGATCAGCACGCAGTTGCCTGAGCTTCAGCAGGTGAGGTAGCAGGACTGTGAAGAACCCATAACATGAGAGATTTGCGATATGAGACATGGCCAAGAACTCGCATATCATAGGATATGGTACGATATGATATGATGATATGATTCGATATGATGCGATACCAGGAACTACAACTTCCTCCTTCATTATGTGATCAGTTCTTGCGATGGCGACGAGAACGACCAGCGATACCAATGACCAAGAGGCTTAGGTGATTGATTTCCTGTGGAATTTGCCATCGCTCTAGCATCATGATACGTGCTTGCCCGGTAACCCTAAACGCGATGCCCTATCATCAAAGTCCTGGCTCCTAAACCCCAAACCCTAAACACGATGCACTGCAACCTGAGCACAACAACCAGAACTCAAGTCCCTGTGCCCTACACTCTCAACTCTAATTCCACGACCAATCCAAGCAATGCATGCCTAAACCCTAAACCCTAAACCCCTCGAAACTAAACCCTAAACCCCAAACCCTAAAACCCTAAACCCAAAACCCTAAAACCCTCGAAACTAAAACTCTAAATCCTAAATCTGCATCCCAGGCGCTCATCGTCTCCCCGGCATCTTTCGCTTCGGCTTCGGTGGGAGCTGCCTCCTGGCCCCAAAATAACCGGCTCTTTGGTATAGCTTTGGGTTTAGGGTTTAGGGTTTAGGGTTTAGGGTCCAGGGTTTAGGGTTTGGGGTTTAGTGTGTTTCCGGGTTGCGCTGAAAGGCGTCGTGCTTTTAGGGCGTAGCCCTGTTTGTGCTTGAAGGTGCTTAGGGGTCTTTGCGGCGCAGGAAGCCTCCTGTGAGATGCTGAAATTGCTTGCGCTGTCGGAGGTCCCCGTTGCAAGTACTTAAAGGATCATGGGACTTAGTAAGGAGGGTTATAAGTACCCTGATTGGGGTTATAATAATAGTTACCTTATTTATAACCCTAGTTACTAGGTCCCATGATCCTCCAAGTAGGTGGTTGAGAGCTTTCCAGTTTTGCTTAGGATGCACAAGGCTCGAACATACGATTTTTCATTCTCTAGAACGCTAAAGCCTAGTTAAACCTGAAGGCCAAAAACCTTGAAGCTTTGACCTGGCCCGAAAACCCGAAGCCCCATACACACCCTGGAGCCCTAAACTCCGAAGAGCTACAGCTTAAACCCTAGACCCCAAGCCCTAAAGCCTCAACCCTTTACAGTACCTTCTAAATTTCTATCAGAACCGTGATCAACCAAAATACAAAAAAACTTAACCCAGAACCCATCTAAATCCCGGACCCCCTAAACCCCTGAACCCTAAACCTTCATAAACTCCCAATCCCTAAATCTCTAGGACCCTCAAACCCCTGAACCCTAAACCTTTCATAATGACCCCCAAGCCCTAAATCCCTAGGCCCCAAGCCCTAAATCCCTAGGCCCTAAGCCCGCAACGGCACCTTCTGTGGGCCGCTCATCAAGCGGCCGACGAAGATCGCAGCGCCCAGTGCCAGGGCCGCAATTCCGAAGCGGAGCCTTGCTTAAACTATCCAGGGTTTAGTATCTTGAAACACAGGTAGATAGGTAGATCGATAGATCGGTAGATCGATAGACAGGTAGATAGGTAGATCGATAGATCGGTAGATCGATAGATAGGTAGATAGATAGATCGATCGAGAGATAGATAGATAGATAGATAGAAAGTTAGAGAGAGAGATGACATATTGCTAGATAGGTAGGTAGGTAGGTAGGTAGGTAGATAGGTAGGTAGGTAGGTAGATAGGTAGATAGAACGCTTGATTGACGGAGTGATTGAATGATTAATCGATTGACTGATTGATTTACTGATCCGTTGCTTGACAAATAGATTTTTCACCAGCCCCACCACTCACTAACGACAAGCAATTGCTCCTGATTCTTCAGCAAGTTCGGAGCTGTGGTAGGCAGGTAGTTAGATAGATAGATAGATAGATAGGTAGGTAGATAGATAGATAGATAGATAGAGGGGGAAAGAGAGAGAGAGAGAGAGAGAGAGCGAGAGAAAGAGAGAGTGAGAATCAACAACCAGAGAGTGAAAGAGATGGAGACAGAGAAAGAGAGAGATAACTCTGATCAGCGCGACCATAACCCTACACAATGTTGCAAGGCCGTCGTCCAAGGTACGTCATGCAAAGGCAACTGTCCATGGCGCCAGCAGTCGCGTCATCCGTCTCCAGGGTCTTGATGAGGACCTTCAGGCGTGTTCTATTCCAGAAAATGATCGCAACTATAGCTACTTATAGCTCTATTGAGCTCGGTCCTAAACTGAAAGTACTGATAAACCATAGCCTCGCCCCATCAGCCTAACCCCCGAACTGATAGTCCCCAAACCCCTAAACCAAAAGATCCAAACCCTCAGCCCCTGATATCCTAACAGTTACGCCCTAAGCCCTATAAACCCCAAGCACATACACCTCAAACCCTTCTTCAACCTTCAACCCTGGACCCTAGACCATGGACCCCTGAACCCCAAACCTTGGACCCGAAAGCCCACCCCTCTAAATTTTGGGAGTTTCTTATTATAATTATGGTATAATGGGCCCCCAAACCCTATTCCAAGTATTCACGCCCCCATATTACCCATGGCCCTAAACCCCAAACCGTAAACCCAAACCTCTGAACCCCAAAACCTCGGACAACCCTAAACCCTAAACCCTAAACCCCAAAACCTCGGACCCTAAAGCCCACCGTTGCCCATGGCCTGGTTGCTTCCGAACAGCCTCAGAGATCGTCGGATCCAGCTGGTTTAGGGTTTAGGGTTTAGGGTTTAGGGTTTGGGGTTGGTTTTGGGGTTTTGGATTTCGGGGTTTAGGGTTTAGGGCTTATAGGAATTGGGTTTTGGAGTTTTTTTCGTTTTTTCAAGTTAGGAATTAGGGTTTTTGGTGTTGGGGTTTAGGGCCGTGGAATAGAGGATGTAGGGAAGTTTAGAGGTTTCTAAACTTAGGATTATTTGTTCGGTCTTTTGAGGCTTTTTTGCACTTACATTGTTGGGGCGGCTTTTCGGCACTCCGTAGGGTTCAGTTTATCTTTTTGGTACATTTAAATGTTTAATCTAAAGTATGGCGTCTTGGGGTGTCGTTTAATGCCTCCGCGCTTCGTTTCGAGATTCTGTGCTTCGTGCAGCGTGTGCTTTGTTTTCTTCGGGTTTGAAGCCTCCTGGTTTATCGAGCCCAGCAGTTTAGGGTTGGTGGGATTCTAGGTTTGGGGTGAAGGGTTTCGAATTTAGGATTCGGGCCCCATCGAGTGCGCAATTCGACTACGTAAGTGGGTTTCCTGCCAGTTCCCGCGCTTGCCAGCCCAAAGCCCTGAAAGCACTGGAATACTGGCAGACCACCTGAACAAAACCCTCAGCCCTAACCCCGAAACCCCAAACCCTCAACCAAGAAACCCCAGCCCCTAAACCACAAATCCTCCACCCTAGCACCCCAGAGCCCAAACCCTTAACCCTAAACTAAACCCCCAGACGATAGACCCGAAAACCCTAAACCCTCTAAGCCCCAAACACACACGGTTACCACGGCAAGGAGCATGGTGACCAAGTTCAGCAAAGCAATGCCGTTGCTCTGGCCTCTGGCCGCTTCGGGACCCTTTTTCCTGAAACCTGTGGTGGTATAGTAGGCTATGTGTGCTGTGGTATACTACGGTAGAGGTTAGTGTGGCATAGTGTAGCATAGCATAGTGTAATACAGTATAATACAGCACAGCACAGCACAGCATAGTAACGTATCGCATAGTACTGTAGTGTACTAAAGCAGAGCTATAGATTAGACTAGCAGTTATAGTGTACTATACCATACCATTTACATATGATAAGTTGCTCTAGCCTTAAACCTAAGCCTCTACCCATCAACCCTGATCGTGAAGCTCGGATCTTCTGCGTCAACGGGCAATGAGGAACAAAGCAAGCAAAGACGAAGGCAGCGGCCTCCAGCACCGTAGGACCCTGGCTCCTCATCGTCATCATCAGCAGTATTATCATCAACGCAGGTTATCGAACCCTAAATCCGAAAATATAAGCCCTAAGTCCTCAATGAAGCCCTCAAGCTCTAAGCACTAAGCCTTCAAGCCCTAAAACCTACACCTTCCATGAAGGTCGTGGATGTGCCTTCCGACTGAGCAGAGGAGGATGCTGGCCGTGCGGACACCGCGCCTCAGGCTTCCGGAGTCTCTCCACCCAATCTTGATAAGAATAAGGGTGTAGGGTTTAGGGAATATTGCTAAGAATCATGTAGGAACCTGATTAAAAATGCCTGGGGTCTTTATTGGGTGCTTTATATGAACCCTTAAGATTTGGGGGCTATAGGACCAGGGTTTCTTAATCATTAGAGGTTTAGGGTTTAGGGGAGGGGTTGGGGATTGGTTCGGGTATCTCTAGTCCGAGTCATATATGGAAATCATGATTACGGGCGTGGGGTGGATTAGGGAGTTGGGCTTCCCAAAGCTGCCTGGAATTTTCTCGATCCTGGCTCCTCCTCGGCTCTACAGTTTATGTTATATACTCCCTAAACCCTAAAACCTAAACTCTAAACCGCTATACTCCAGCCCCAGACCCTCAGCACATTGCCCCAAAATCCGCAGCCAACGTTAAGTAAGCCCTACAGCCCGACAGAATCCCCAACCTGGCCCTAATCTCAAACCCTATAATGTAGGGGCCTTCATAACTAGAATAGGGTTTTGGGGGTTCCTTATTATGTCTATAGCAGAATATACTCCCAAACACTATTATTCTATTCCTTATTATAATTGTAGTAGAATCTACTCCCAAACCCTACTCTAATAATTCAGGCCCCCTCAATTAGACCCACAACACGAGCTGCAACTCCCAAGCCTTGAGCCTTCATCCTCATCTGAAGCCCTCAACCTTAACTGGTTCCCTGTTGGGGCTATTCAAAATGATCATGTTTAATCCTTCTTGGGTTTCACTATGACAAAAATGTATGTAACGTTGTGTCCAACAAGGACCCAGTTAACCTCGAAACCTCGAATTCTACCAAATAGGTGGATCTATTAGATGATAAAGCGTAACACTAATAGCAACAATAAGGAACCCTAGTGAATAACATTGGTAATTAATTCGTGCTCCTATGTTAAGCCCCTGAAGCCTGAAACCAAAAATCGGATCATGGCACCTCTCTTGGGCGGGTATCTGGAGGGCAGCAGCCTGCCACAATGGTTGGGCGGAAGTTTTTGCTGTTTTAAGTGCTTCGGGCTTTGGAAGCACGAGACAGAAAGAGAGAGAGGAGAAACATAAAAACAAGGATGTAGCCGGAACCTCAAACCCAGAACCACAAGGCAAAGACACAAACCGGAAGAAGCAGACAGATAAACACGTGCATGCCTAACAGACTTAACATGCATGCATGCATTCCTACATAAATACGTACATGCCTAAGTACATCCATCAATCCATCACTGCATACACAGGTACTGCACAGATCTGTATCCGATCCCTAAACCCGAAACCCTAAACCCTGAAACCCTAAACCCTACACCCTACAACCCTAATTAAACCATCAACCCTAACACCCTAAACCCTAAAACCCTAAACCTAAAACCCTAAACTCTAAAACCCTAAACTCTAAAACCCTAAACCATAATCCCTAAAACCCTAGGACCTAAACCCTAAAACCCTAAAGCCCTAAACCCTAAACCCTAAACCCTAAAACCCTAAACCCCAAACCCTAAGACCCTAAACCCTAAACCCTAAACCATAAAATCCTCAAACCCTAAACCCTAAACGCAAAAACACTAAACCCAAAACCCTAAAATCCTCAAACCCTAAACCCTAAACGCAAACCTAAACCCAAAGAGGCCTCAGGGCGGGGCGGCCCGCTCCCTCTGCAGCCACGAAGTTGGACCCCACAGCGCCGGCGGCCAACAGGGCCTAGTTGCGGTTTCGGATTGAGGGTTTGAGGGTTTCGGATTGAAGGGTTTAAGTCATAGCAATAATAACAATAATATCAATAGCAATAAAAATAACAATAATATCAATAGCAATACAAACAATAGTATCAAAAATAATGGTAATAGTAAAGATAAATAATAATAACTAGTATTTATGACCATTATGGATATTTTTACAATTTGTATTACTCGGGCTTAGGGAAATTAAAGTTTAGTCCCTAGTCTTCCTCCGAGCCGCCACGGCGATCGACCACAAAAGAAGGTGACCGAGAATGCCTCGCGCTCCTCCGCGCCTCCCAGGCTTTCAGGAAGTAACATAGGTTCCTTTAAACTTGAAAGGGTTCCTTATAGGGATCTATATGAGCTACTATAAGGGTTTAGGGTATAGGGGCCCTGGTTTCGGGGTATATTATACTGTAACTAGAATAAGGAACCCCCCCCAACATAGCGTTGGTAATTATTGAGGCTCCTATATTGTAAAGTTTATAGAGGTATTGTAAAGTTTTGGGGTTTAGGGTTTCGGGTGTTTAGGGTTGCTATCGCTACGGCTTTAAGGCTGCGAAGTGAAAGTTAGGGAGATTGAACGCCATGCGCAGACCACCTCCGTGGGGCACCGGGCGCGCGCTGATGCCACAGCTGATGGGGCGAGGGCATGCTGTTCATCGTTGCGGCGGCAGCTCAAGCTTCCTCAAACCCTGCTTGCAGGCTCACATTCAATGCAGTCTATTTACGTATGTTCTAGGATCTTTATGTGGTTTTAGGAATCTTGTCAGAAAAAACACTACCCAGACTAACTGCAGCTGGGACCAATCTGTTGCATCTCCCTTAAGCCGAACGCTGCACAAAGGAGCCACACTTCCGGCAGTCATGACAAGGACAGCAAAAAGGGGGACTGCTGAAGCTATGGAAGCTGAGCTTAAACCAGGGCGCAACCTAGCTGCCAGTGACTAAGTGGCATAGCGAGGGGTGCTGTCGGCTGATATTCGAGCTCCAAAGATGGCCTTTATTCCTTCCCCTTGCAACTACAACATGATGTGTACCAAACAGGGATCAAGCTTCTACGGGATTTATGTAACTTCAGCCACCGTAGACAATGAAGCCCCAAACGGGCAGTCTCACCAACAAGTCCTGGCTAGTAGGGATTGCAATGTTCTCATACATCTATATATATATATATATATACATATATATACACACAGGTTATCTCTATATAATCTGAAAAACCATCTATCACTACATATACACATCGTTGTAGACCTTAACCTTAGCTCACCCTGAACCCCTAGAGCCCTCCATAGCATCATCCCAGAACGATGTCGCCTCCGAAGGGCCGACTCTTCGGTGAACCCAAGACAACGGAAGCTATGACACCCGAGGGCCTCAACCCAAAAGCAAAAACTTGACCCCTAAGACCCCTTTAATAGTGAACCCCCCCAAAGAGTAGGAACATGGAGTTAGGATGATTTGTGCTAGGATGCCTGATACTTTACCTGAAGGCCATGAGGAAAACGATGTTCCAGCTCTATGACTACTACTAGACACCCTCAGTAAGTTGCACCACAGCCATGCCCTGGGTGAATGACTGGAACCTAAAATCGTGAGCTTCGGAGTGCGTTGCTTTGGATTTGGGGCTTGAACCTCAACCCCAAAAATCCATTCAAGGACTCTTAAAGGAACCCTTAAAGGCACCCTTCAGGAAATCCTTCGAGGACTCCTTAAAGGGATCCCTGAAAGGAACCCTGCAAGGAACCCTTAACGGCCCTAAAGCCTCAAGTTTTTCACGCCCTAAAGCCTACGGTCAGGCCAGTAGTCCATGAAGCCTTGAACCCCGAAACCCGGATCCCAGACCCACTTTGGGGATTTCGGTGCTATTGTGGGAGTAGGGAGTAGGGTAGTTTAGGGTTGTCATCATGGTTCCTTTAAGGAGCAGGTCCAACATACCTACAATGCGTGAAAGCCTTAGACTCCAAACCCAGGTATATTGTGGACAAGGTGCATCTCCATGAACTCCTTCGTCAGCTGCAAGGCCTCGTCCACATTTTAGCAGATTGTTAAAACCCTAACATACCCTAAACCCAAACAAACCCTAAACCCTAACAAACCCGAAACTCTAACAAACCCGAAACCCAAACAAACCCTAAACCCTAACAAACCCTAAACCCCAACAAACCCTAAAGAATCCTGAAATTCAGGGTTTCGAGCTTCGAGTTCTGAGTTTATTTGAAACTCTCGGGCCTAGCCCTTCGGGTTCAATTTTTTGAACTCGAGGGTTCAGTTCAAGGTTTGGGGTTTGAGGCTTCAGAACTTTAATATAGGGGCCTAGAAAATTACCTAGATTTTTTTTGGGTTATGATGATAGTAAAATGGGCCCCAAAACACTATTCCAATTATTAAGGCCCCTACATTACAGTGGCTCTTATTATAATCAGCCCCTATATTAGCTTCCTTACCGTCGGAGGTCCAAGGGTGTTTCGCTCAAGACTCAACAGCTGGAAGCGACCGCCGGAACCTTTATCCTACAGGCTACGCACGAGCCACCAAACCCCAAACCGCATGAATAAACGGCCCTGGACCCTGAACCCGGAGCCATCCATGTTTACGACGTGCTCAAGCATGCTGTTCGCTTCGGAAGACCGCTACTTGTCCGGACTTCCGCAACTACGACGAACCCTAAAATTTAACAAAATGTTCTTTAGTCAGAGAAACCCGAGAACCGAGACTGTTGCAGACAAGGCAAAGCAGCCGTGAATGCGAGGCACTGGGATTTCGGATTTTGCTTTCAGGATGTCAGCGCAGAGGTCCCCTACACCCTAAACTTCACCTGGGACTTCGTGACGCATGGGGCTTCGCACCAGACTTGAAGCTCCAAAAACGACTCTACCCCTCCGCTGTCTGAAAGCTTAGAGGCCATAATGGTGCAAGCAGGACTTTGGGCTTAAGGCCAACATCCACTTAAGATACATGCTACAGCCCAAACCCGAGCAAGCGGAAGAGACCTAAACTCCAAGCCCGAAACTTCAACTAAACCTTGACATCTTCAAACTGCCTGACCCCAAACCCCAAAACTCCGATACCCCCCTAAACCCCAAAACCCTAAACTTATAAGCCCTAAACCCCGAACCTCCAAAACTCCTAAACCCACGAATCCGCCGGCACCTTGAAAGAGGGCTTGCCGATGGCTGCCTCCGTGGTTTCGGACTTGAAGGAGCTTTCGGCTTTTTGGGGCCCGGGGGCGCTTGAATGAGCAAAGCCGAAACGGACCCCAGTTTAGAAAACTACGTGGTTTTGGGCGTCAAGAGACTAGGGGCTTAATGGTTTAAGGTCCGGGGCGCCTCCACCGAAGCAGATTTTGAGAGGCTCGATACAAACCCTCAACATTGCTGCTCACTGCTGCTCCGCAACCCGGAACTGAGCCGTGAACCCTAGGCGTCAGCCGCGAATCCTAGTGAAACACCCAATCCGAAAACCCCAAACCCGAAACCCCCACACCCTAATAAAAAACCCTCAATCCCTACACAACCCTCAAACTCTACTCCCAGAAAAACATCAAGAGAAACGGTAACTAGACTTTGAAGTAACCCGGGATCCAGGTATACCAAAGTATAAACTTCTATTTCAGAATGGTTCCTTTCAGGAGCAGGTCCAACAAAAAGCATTCAAGTATGGAACTCCAAACCCAGGGGAACCACCCAGCTTCGCCTGCAGAGAGTCGTAGACCACGAGAACCGAGCGGGGGATCTCAGACTGGAAAGTGTGCCTTGGAAGAGGCCGGGTTTGGGGTTTAGGGTTTGGGATTTAGGGTTTAAATTTTGGGGTTTTAGGGCTTAGGGTTTATGATTTTGGGGCTTTAGGGTTTTGGGCTTAGGGTTTATAATTTTGGGGTTTTAGGGCTCCGGGTTTACGGTCCAGGGTTTTATTTCGGGCGTGTAACGATGTATAGGTTGTAGGGCACGGTCCGTAAAGTATCGGCGGTCTGTACAGGAAGAAGCAGGGCTTTGGGTTTCGGGCCGAGGTTTCATTTGGGGTTTGCAACTTTGCCTATGGGTAGTTCTCTAAATTCGGGTCCCTTTTTAGGTCCCCAATATAGTACGGCACCCTTATAAGAAGGAGCCTAAAATGGGACCCTAATTTAGAGAACTACCTATATGGTAGCGTCGTAGGTTTTGCGAAGTATGAGTGTTGATCTAGGGTCTATATGCACGGTGGAGCGCAGGAGGTGGGCTTTACCGGGCTGTAAACAGGTAAAGGGACTATCGGCGTTTATAAGCTTGTGGACTTGGATGCAGACCTCCTGTGGGCTTTGAGTTAGTTCAATAGACGTCTTGATGTTGGTTGGAAGAATTCTTTGCCGGACCTGTAAAAAAGCCAGCTTGCTTCAAGGATGTACGTAGTCCCTACTTTTACGGAACAGGAGCCATGGGCTCGAAGAGAACTAAAGTCAGAGAGTTTTGAGAAAGAGGTGCACACCGCTCAACGACAGCCACATTGAGAATATGATAACAAAGAAGGACACGCCACGGGATTGAAAGAGTTCCGGGTTTGGGCATACGCTGTTTGGTCGTCCAACAGCAAGCATTTGCTGCCGGGCGTCTGCGAGTGGATGACGTCCTTGTTGATGAACCTCGAAATGGGATACCAAAAGAACAGCCTCAAATAACTCAGAGCAAGAAATCCTACACCACAACCCTCACCCTCCTGAAGAAAACTTCGGGTAATCCACCATCTCAAAAAATCCCAAACACTAAGCCCTAAACCCTAAAACCCTCCAAACACGAAGCCCCCTGAACCCGAATCCTCAGTCCCAAAGCTCTAGCAAAGCCCCAAGGAGTCCCTCCCCAGAGTTCTTCATCCGCAGAGGGGCTGTCCGAGGTGAGTTGTCTGATACCAACCCACCGTGTTGGAGTCGACGTTCACCTTGTATGAGGTTTAGGTGTTTAGGGTTTAGGGTTTAGGGTGCAGGGTTTAGCGTGTAGAGTTAAGGGTTTAGGATTTAGGGTGTAGGGTTTAGGGTTTAGGGTTTGCGGTTTAGGGTGCAGGGTCTGTTCAAGACCGCTGATGTTATGTCGACGTTTTAGGCCTTCAGGGCTGAGGTTCTGGGGATCCTTTAACTTACTTCCCCAATAAGTCGGGGAAAAATGGTTTAACTTTAGATTACTACTAAATTCTAAGAGCCCCGAAAAGTTTAAAGGTTGGGTATTGGAGAACTAAGTTAACGTGTTCAGGGCTGAAACTTGGGAGCCTTAGTGATCAGAGTCGGTGTACATCATTGTAGCATTGCAAAGCTTTACAAAGGAACTAGAAGGACATACTATTCCGGGCGCTTTCTCCCTAAGGCCACGATGCTTACTGAAATCCTCATTGCGGGAGTCGGGTATCATTCATGGCTTCGGAAACCCCACGCCTCCTATCGGAAGTTTGGGCTTTGCATGGAGAAAGCTTTCGGATTCAATATCGCATAATATGGGTAGTTCGAACTAAACAAAGTAGGGTCCTGTTTTGAGTCCCCAACATAGTACGGCATCCTTGTAAAGAGGACCCTAGAAAGGGACCCTAATTCACAGAACTACCCCTGTAGCAACTTAGGGCTCTCTTGGGAGTAGCTGCTCCCGCGACTGTGGCGACCCTCACCGTTGCGCCCACCGGCACTGTGACGGTGAGGACAAGAATTGGTTCCTACAGTTGCCACGACTGTTCTGTGGCGACAGCCAGGCCCCAGACACTGTAAGCCCTGACTCGCAGCCCTATGGGAAAACAAACCGCCCAAATCCCAAAACCGTGACGAACATCCCAAACCCAAAACCTTGAAAAATCCTAAACCCTAAGCCGAAAACCATGAAGACTCCAAACCCCAAAACATCCAAAAAGTCCTGAGCCCGACCCTCGGCCACGGCCTCACGCAGCTTTCTAAGTGTGTCCATCTGGAACTGGACACCCTCCGGCGAGAAGGGCTTCGGGTTAAGGGCATCTTTCGGTTGCAGGGGTTGGGGTTTGGGATTTACCTGCAGCCCAGATACCATACTTTTTGCTTTTAGGAAACAGAACAGATGATAAAATCCTACTGTAAGGCCCTGAAAAGGGTAGGTTTTTCGGGCTACAGGTCGTGTTTGGAGTTTGGGGCGTTGGAAGGTTTCGGTTCTTGGGCCTTGCCGTAGACAAGTCTTACAGCGTGTAAGACTTGTCAGGGTTGGAACGGTGTGATGAGGTTTGTTGTTCTGGAGCTTGCTAGGGTGTAATGCAGGGTCATTAATAATTAAAATAGGGTTTTGGGGCCCATTATACTATAGTTACAATAAGGAACCCACCAAAATAGTATAGGTAATTATTAAGGCCCCTATGTTAGGGTAGGATTCAGAAACCAAAGGTTGCGGGGTCAGGTATGCCGGATGCCAGCACGAAGCCGGAAAAGTATCATGAGTCTTGCTGGG